TAGTAGGGGTTGAGACAAGAGAAGGATGTCTTATGGAGAGAGAAGAGAGTTAGTTGTAAAGGTATAACAGAGACTTTGATGAACACTGAAGAACATGAAACAAAGAACAACCAGCCCATGTAGGGGAAATATTAGAAAAGAACCAAGAAATTCATCTTGCCACCTCTTTCCCTCTTCTCCATATAAACACTCCCCCACCCCACTTTCTCTCCGTCTCTCCCTCTAAACCCTGCAGTTAATTTTTGCTGTGTTAGAAGCCAGAGTATTGATTTCCCTCTGTCATTCTGGGCTCTAGGGAGTATAAAAGACAGGGAAATACATGTAGATCAAAGTATCAATGCATGAGTTGCCATCCATTATGATTTCCAAAATACGAGCCTCCTGGAAGCCTGAATTAGAGACTGTAGCTAGGACCTAAGGCAAACATAGGGATCTCTCATTTCTTACCCAAATTCTAGTTCTTACGAGCTGCCTTGGGGAAACTGGGATCTGTTGCAGACTCTTAGTCAACACTTAGTCAACCAGCTGCATAGAGAATCCAAATCTGCCTCACACACAGTAGAACGAAGAACGGAGTTTCAAGATCAAAGCAAAAGGAGAGAGTTCTACCTTTTCAAGTGAAATGATCCTGCCCCTGATAAAAATGCAGCCCAGTAGATGTCAAATTCTTCCTAAGTCCAGTAACCTTGTAGGTAAGAGTAAGTAAATAGAGAAATTGCCTCACTCCCTCTATTTCATATTGCTTTATGAGAATTGAAACGTAGATTTCTCCCTCTACGGCAACCTAAAGAAAAGGGAAAATGTACCATTGGTTCCTTCTCCAGGAATTCCATTTAATTTCTTTTGGAAGGGTACGTCCTTGCTTCGTTGTATGGCTCCCTCTCTCTTCTCACCTTTACCAATAACTCACCCATAAACTAATCATCAGACATTATCGGTGGTGCTCCTGGCTACCTAATACCTCAAACTGAGCAATCCTGACACTACTTTCTCAACTGCATCATTAGGATCTTTCTAGATTTAACTACCAAGTGGAGACCTCTTCCAACTGCATACTTCCTGGCTTAATTGAATAGATTAACCCACTTTCATCATATATGATGCCTAGGATTTCCAAGAGATACTGAGCTAGCGGGTCCATCCATCATCAGTGTTACAGTAGTCTGATCTCAGAAAGCTTGTGACCAGGTGGCATGAGGAATGAACCCGGCATTACCTGGCTTGATATTTTGCTAGTGGTCAGTCAATCCTTGCAGGATCCCACAAGATGATATGGCCTTTCTCATAGCTCTTTTCTCCCCCTTCCCCCCAACCCCCCATAGGTCATGAGTGACACTGAATATGCAGAGTGGCTGAGGAACCATTTTTTAGCTGAAACCAGCATTGACCACAGGGAAGAATTACTCCTTGAATCTGCCATGAGGTTGGAGAACAAGCTCACTTTACTTGGTAGGTAGACTATGTTGTATCGTCTGAATAGAGAAATTTGGAAAACACTGGATATCTCTAAGTAGGTTATTCACCAGTGGTTCCCACCCCCCAACTTTGATCTAATAGAGCAAATAGTTCTCTCCACCCTGTCCAGTCTGATCTGTACCCAGTTTCCAATTCTTTTCCTTCTGCTTTCCACTGTAGTGAACTCGACTTCATTTATGGTGGGATCAGGGTGGTTATCCTTAAGAAGATCATTTAAAACCTGATCACTTAACATAGAATACCAAGTCAAATAAATATCCTGGTTCAAGAGGCTATCCAGTTGAAGTTGATTGCCAGGCATTGGATAAGGTACTTAGTATGTGTGGTCTTTTGAATCTGCACAACAAATCTCTATCTTAGGGGAAATTTAGAGCACAGAGCAGTTCATTGACTCGTTCACAGTCAGATGCTAATAGCTGACAGAGCTAGAAGGAGACTCAGATCTACCTAGTTCCAGGGCCCACGTTCTTTATTCTGTACCTACAGCCGGACCAATGAAATTTGTTTCTCTCTCTTCTCTTACTTCCTGATTGCAGCTAAAGTTTGCACAACGGACACCTCTTGTCTCAAACTGAGCTGTATCCTGAAATCATATGGAACACTTTAAAAAATACTGGTGACTGCATCCTTTCTCAGGGATTCTGATTCAGTTGGTCTGACATGTGGCTGGGGTGTTTGAATATTTAAAAGCCCCCCAAGGAATTCTAAGAGGCACCCAGGGTTGAGAACCACTGTCTCAGAGTCTGGAGATCTGGACTAACATACCAAAAGAGCAGTCTCTGAGCTCCATTCCTCTGGTTCACAGAAAAAAAATGATCTCACTTAGTGTGAAGCCAGAAGAGTAATGATACCTGATCGGTGTCATTTCTCTGTGACAGTGTCTGTAGTATGGGTCCACATTTCCTCCTCTGAAATTCCGAACTCAAAAATGCTCTGTGGGTTTAGTGCCGGAACTCATTTGGCTACAAAATCAGGCCTGATTTGTTAAGATTTTATGAGTCTTTATTATCCTAATTAGTATGAACATTTGTAAGTTTTGCTACAGAAATATTAATATGCTTCATTAGCAGATATTTCAAAACATAGATGCACTATGTTACCTTTCTAAAATCTGAAAAACTTTTGAATTCCAAAACTTATCTGGCCCCGATTGGTTTAGAAGACAGACTTACGGACTTGTAATATCTGTTTTCAATGCTCTTTCATAATATAAGCAACATATTGGCAAGGACACTCTTTAAAAGCCTGCCCTTAGCCTTGGGAGCATCACAGAATTATAAAATTATAGAGCAAGGTTAGATAAGTGCCTGAAACTACAAGCTCCCCTCAATTTACAGAGAAGAAAGCTAGCTGAAAGGAGAACAAGTAAGTTTAATAAGCTCAGTGATTCCTAAGGCTTCCTTCCCAAAATACGACATTGTATATGATTTTGGTCTGGGTCTTCACACTTCCTTTGAATGCCTGGAAAATACTGGAGCAATGTGTAGCTCAGGATGGGGTTGCCTAACAGAGTTCAGCTGCAGCCTAGATGAGCTTCTGCTGTCTTTGATTTCTCACAAGCCCTGTTGCACTCTGGCTGTCTTGTAGGTGCTACAGGCATTGAAGACCGTCTGCAGGAGGGAGTCCCTGAGTCCATCGAAGCCCTTCAGAAAGCCGGCATCAAGATCTGGATGCTGACAGGGGACAAGCAGGAGACAGCTATCAATGTAGCTTATGCGTGCAAACTACTGGAGCCGGGTGACAAGCTCTTTATCCTCAATACCCAGAGTAAAGTAGGTATAATGAGATCGAATCCATCTTTTTGCTTTTTCATAGCCAGGGGAGCATTTGTGATTTGATGAAGGTAAGGAGAAAAAAAACCCAATAACCATTAGCTCCTTGATAATTATGTCTTCTATCCAGCAGCCTACCTTGTGCCTTGGAAGGTACCGTAGTTCTTCTAAAGGCTTCACGGTTAAACATTAATTCAAAGGAATTACTGCTAAAGAAAATTGCCTTTTTATTTTTTTATTTGCTTTTTTTCTTCCCCGCCCCCTCCACATTGGATTTCAAGGGATTTAAGATTTAGCCCATAATGACAAAATGTATCAAGTTCTGGGACAGGAATATACCTCTCTTTCAAATTGAGGGGAAGTGATGATTTCTATCAGAATCAGGTGAACACATTAATATTTTTATGGTTAATTACAAAAATAGACTCTCAGGATAATTATGCCCTCTAGTGGCAATTCTTAGATATAGCGCTGTTGAGAATATCAAGTTTGAAGAACTGTTTCATGGGAAGGGAAAATTTTTTTTTTTTCCCTTCAGAAGGAATTTAAGAGGTTTGGATCCAGCTTATTTTTTTATAATTATCCCTGCCCCACCCCCATTAATCTCTAGCACAGGTTCTAATCAGTTAAACAGGCATTTTTTTTTTTTTTAATTTTCCAATATCGTAATATTCTCTGAGATTTGTGCATGTTATTTAATTAGCTTGGAAAACCTTCCTCTCTCTCCTTTCTCAATAGTCAGACTTAATCAATGATATCCATTCGCTGACAGCAACCTGCCTCTCAGAAATCCTCTGGAGCTTCTCATCTGGATCGCATCTTGGGGCTCTGTCACAGGCTGCTGTGTTTGGTTAGCCATGTTTTTAAGGTCAGGCCTTAGCCAATACCTAAGCAGATCGTACATTTTCAGGAAAGAGAATTTTCCTTATTCAACACAGAATGGGTTATCCTTGGCAGTTGGCTGTCGCCCAGAGACCCATAACCACAACCACCAGGCAGCCCCTACAGTACCAGCAGGGCCTGAGCATAAGAAAGTTGTCCATTAGTCATTTTGGTCACTAAAACGGCTGTGCACTAAGGTTGGTAAGCCCCTGGCTCGTGTGCTTGGCCTGCCTGTGACCAGGTATGTGACCGTGGGGAGTTTTCTTCTGGGCCTTTTACTTCACCTGTGATGTAAGAGTAATACCTATTTCATAGGGTCATTGTGGGCATGAAATGAGAAAATATAGATTATAAATTAAACATGCAGTGCCTGGCAGACAGAAGGGGCTCAAGGAACATTAAAAAAGAAAAGTCAATTCTTGATGTTTGATTTTGACATTTTTGTGAGTAGTAAAATCATTAGGATTGTAGAACTTACTTGTAAACCTGTGATTTATAGTTAGAGGCATTTAAAACTTAACAATTCAGGAAGTCTTTATGGAGTATCCACTATGGACTGTTCTAAGTGCAAAAAGTAAATTTTTTTTTTTACTATCAAAAGCTATTCCACCTTGTGTGAATTTTCCAGATAACTAAACAGAACACAGTGAACATAATTTAGTTTTATGGTGACTCAAGTCCAAGCATATAAAATGCCAGGCACATAGTAGAGGCTCAGTCACTGTATTCTTTTCTTTTCTTTTTTTTCCTCCACTCCTTCCTCTCCATCAGGAGATGCTAAGAGTTAACAAAAAGAAAGATCATGGAACCTGCTTTGTCAGTTAGTGAAGAAATTGCTTCTGTGACATTCTAAGTGGGCCACCTGGAAACCAGTAGAATATCTGGTCATTTTTGTAGTGTAGTACTGCAGCTTTATGAATTTCCATCAGCTCCTGTTCCTAAATTTGCAAGTTGGATTACAGTAAATGTAGCCACTTATAAACTTTACATGGTTTCCATTCTCATAATAGTCTTGGGGTTTTTTTCAGGGGAGGGGGTTAATACAAACCTATCTTGGATTAATTTTTTTTTAAGATTTTACTTATTTGAGATAGAGAAAGAGAGAGCATGGGTGGGGGGAAGGGGCAGAGGGAGAGGCAGAAGCAGGCTCCCCGCTGAGCAGGGAGCCCGATATGGGGCTCAATCCCAGGACCCTGAGATCATGACCTGAGCCGAAGGCAGGTGCTTAACCGACAGAGCCACCCAGGCGCCCCCATATCTTGGATTATTTACTGCCTTGTGATACATAAAGCCCTTTCGGGATCCATCATTTAATTTTTTAAGTTTTATTTTTATGATTTCATTTAAAAATTTCTCCTGAGATAGTAACTCTTTATTTTCATGTTAATTAGAATCTATAACAGACTTTCTCATACAAGATCTTACTTGACAGTTATAAAGGGTAGACAGATCAGATAAAATTATCCTCATTTTTATAGCCTGAAACTCCAAAAGGTTGTGATTTGTCTAAGTATCCCCAGCTGATTACGTGTCAAGTGTACATTTTGTATTGTATTATATATTATGTAATCTGTATTTACCTATCTATAGTTATTCTCATTATTCATGGGGTTAAATTCTATAAAGTTGTCCTAAACACTGAATTAGTGAATATGGAACCATTACCCCTGGGGGGAAATATAGAACCATAGGCCTTTGGTCACAACATTTTGTTTTGTCAACCAGTCAATATATAACTTTATTCCACGTGTGTTTCTGTTTAACAACAGCTTACTCTCTGTGTATAGTTGATTCAGTAACATCGAATTCATGGCCAGCAGCACCATAACTCATGCCTGCATGAAGCTTATCTAACACACATACTTTCTCTGCAAGGCACATCACAACCTTCTTGTACATAGGACCACTAGACAGCACTTCGGCACTGGGCATGGAGGCCATTTAAACCGCAAAATCAACAAAAAGCAGAAACATACAGAAAATGTGTCACCAAACAGTGAAAAGGACACTTATTTACGGTATGGGAGCTGACGTATGAAGACAGAGCATCTCCTCATTCAGTGGCAGCTGGAATCCTATCACATGACTCAAATTTTTCTCTCTGTGCATGTCCACAAATGACCACAAAAGCACTACAAATACTGATGATAGCATTCCAGATAAATTTTAGCAAGTAGGTGAATTCACATATATGGAATCTGCAAATAAGGAAATTGAGTATGTGTGTGTATATTTATACATATTTCTATAATGAAAATGTAATTTATAAAACTAAATATATACTCAAAAGGATAAAAACATCTATAATCATTCTAGAATCATAAAACTACAGATAATTTAGGTTTATATTTTGGAGGGCATCCACTCAAGACTATTCTGTGCACTATGAGCATGCAAAGTCTGTATTTATAGTATTGTATTTTTTCACTTAATGTATACCTTCAATATCATCATGTTGATATGCTGATTTTCAATGACTTCAGGGTGTGTTACCTCCTAAATGTATCATTTTAATGTAACCAAACTCTAGAAGGTTTTTAAAAATAATTTTTTGCTGCTACATGTTGAGCCTATGAAGGGCATATTTGATTCGCCTTCACACATTTTTTCCTAGGAGGTTTTTGAGGTGTATAGGATCAGATTTGTTCCTAAGGTACAGGTTGCTGGGTAGCTCCGTTTTAAAAGTTGGACCTCTTGGGTCCCTCGCTGGCTCAGTTGGGTAAGCATCTGCCTTCAGCTCAGGTCAGGATCCCAGGGTCCTGGGATCGAGCCCCATATCAGGCTCCCTGCTCAGTGGGGAGCCTGCTTTTCCCTCTCCCCCTCCCCCTGCTTGTGCTCATTCTCTCTCTCTCTCGCTATCAGATAAATAAAATCTTTAAAAAAAAAAAGTTGGAACTCTTTTTTTTTTTAAGATTTTTTATTTATTTATTTGACAGAGAGAGAGAGCGAGAGCAGGAACACAAGCAGGGGGAGTGGGAGAGGGAGAAGCAGACTCCCTGCCGAGCAGGGAGCCCGATGCAAGGCTTGATCCCAGGACTCTGGGATCATGACCTGAGCCAAAGGCAGACGCTTAACGACTGAGCCACCCAGGTGCCCCTAAAGTTGGAACTCTTGTGTGTAGCTTCTGTAGTTATTAAGTCTTTGTAGTGTCAAGCTACGTATCCATATCTACTTCCCTATCCATTTGATTTTGTTGTGGGTTGAGAAATGCTTAATTAAACAGCATTTGAAATAAGAGTGAATGACCTCTGAGTGAGGGATTCTCTTACGAATAAACTTTCAATTTTGTTTGTTTTTTTCTTTCAGTCTTAATGTCTAAACTTAAATGCAAGACTCCTGGATTTTGTTAGGTTCTGTCCTTGGTGGTCACTTGACACAGTAATTTCTGGATAATTTTATTGTTAGTCTTCTTGAGTAGAATCCGTCCAGTGAGTATTCATTGTCTGATGTGGCTCTCTTTTAGGCATTGTGAAGGCTTCAAAAGTAAATTAAAAATGATCTCTGTAGTATTTCCTGACTATGTGGGGGTGAGGAGAGTGGAGGGAAGCACACAAACCAAACATGACAAGCACCACTGAGAACATCTCAACCAGAATGTAAGCTCCATGAGAGCAGGGATTTTTTTTTTTTTTTGTGCTCGTTGACCAATCCCCAGCACCTAGGATGTTTTCTAGTATAAGGTGGTTTCTCAATAAATATTCAGTGAATGAATGAATGAATGTTGTCCAAAAGAAGATAAAAATACTAACTATTGCTTTAAATTCTGTGCCATGCCTACACGAGGAGCTTTGCACATGTTCTCTCCCTCATTCTTCACAATGACATTACCATGTGTAGACATTTGCATTTTTCACGTGAGAAAGTTGAGGCTCAGAGAGGTGACATAATTTGCCTCGAGTCAAGCATAGTGAGTGTAGAAAAAGACCAAAGGACTCTTGAGAGTCTCTGTGTGAGAAGGGAAATTGTACAAATAAAGAAATTCTACGTTATTTTTTTGTTGTTGTAGAACCGGGAGTGAGATGTGTTCTGTCCTATTCACTGGTCCCCACATATACACGGAAATCTCTGCAGAAGAGCTGGGAGGTCTTCAGAAGTAGCTAATTACTCACTAGCCTTGACACAGCGGTGGCTAAAGATAAATTCAGCTGGATATGGCCGCCAGGGGAGCCCTGAGCCTAACTGTCTTGGCCTCTTGTTTCAAGGATGCCTGTGAGACGCTGATGAGCACCATTTTGAAAGAACTTCAGGAGAAGAATCCCACCTCTCCAGAGCTAGCGTCCCTAAGGGAAGGCTTACAGCACACACAGGACTGCGGGCTTCGGGCTGGCCTCATCATCACTGGGAAGGCCCTGCAGTGCGCCCTACAGGAGGGGCTGCAGAGGCAGTTCCTGGAGCTGACTGCCTGCTGTCAGGCCGTGGTCTGCTGCCGAGCCACTCCCCTGCAGAAGAGCGAAGTGGTGAAGCTGGTTCGCAGCCATCTGCAGGTGATGACGCTGGCCATCGGTGAGTGGGGAGGGGATCCAGCCGCGGGCTGCTCACTCTCCTGCCCCACCGGGGGATTGATTCTTCTGTCTGTCCTTCCTTCCGTATGTCCTACGTCCGTTTACCCTTCTGTCTGTCCTTTTCCACCCCCACGTTCCTTCCCCCTTTTCTCCCTTCGTACTCTCTGCCCCCTACTCCCTCCCCCTTTCTCTTCCTCACCTCTTTGACCACCCACTATGAACCACGGGGTAGGGGTGTGACATGGAAACCAATACGGTAGGGCCTTGGGTTGCATGTCAGAACCCCAGATCAACTAAGTTAAGGAGGGTAAATGTACTGAATCATAGAACTGAAAAGTCTAAGAGTGCCACCTTCAGAAAAGTTAAATTCAGGAGCATGAACAAATCATTTATGCATTCATTCAACAGGTATTTATCGAGTGCCTTCCGTTTACCGGACATTTTGCTAGGCAGTGGAGATTAAAGAGTGTATACAGTGGACAAAGTACTTTTTCCTTGAGCTTACATTCAGTAGGAGGCATATAATAAAAAATGAAACAAAACAAAAAAGGCATAAATATATATCAGGCAGCGACAAGTGCTATTAAAAAAAATAAAAGCAGAGCCAGGATATGTAGAACGCTGGGGGGACAGGAGGAGGGCTGCTAACTTCAGTGTTTTTCCGAGACCGTATCACTGAGAAGGCTGCATGTGGGCAGAGACTTGAAGAGAATGATAAGGGAGCCATGGGAAATCTGAGGGGAGGACATTCCTGGTGAGGACAGGGAAAGTGAAGGCCATGGGCCAAGTTTTTTTTTTTTTTTTTTAGTGGGGGGAGGGAGAGGGAGAGAGAGAATCTCTCTCTTCCTTGAGTTCCCAAGGAAAATCAGGATACTGAAAACAGGTGAATGGTTGGTGGGCAGTTGGGAACAACAAATGTTCATCACCAACAGGAATGTAATACTTCCCCTTAAGAAGCTTCCAGTATGTTGGGGAGACCAAGAACTATATAGCAACCATAATATCATATGTATGATATAGCACTGGAGTCCAAGGAAGAGGCATCTAATCTAAAGGGAATATGAAGGTTTCCCAGAGGAAGTGACATCTGAGCTGAGGGCAAGAGCAATGGAAATCCAGCCCCGAGAGGTGGGGGTGATGAGGCCAGTGTTACAAGGATACAGAAACCACATGTGCGGTGGCTGGAAGGAGCAGAGATATCTGGAAAATTGAAAGTAAAGTTAGTGGCACGGAAAAGGGGGAGATCAGTCCAGATAGGTGCCTTAGCGTGAAAGATTTTAAGGCATTATTGAGTTTAGAATTCTTCCTGATGGCAGCGGGATGCGACGTGTAATGTCTGTTTCACTAGCTTCCAGGTAACTTGCAGACTTGGGATAAACTTTGAAGGATTTGTTTGCTTGAGTGGTCACTGTTGCTTTGCAGAGTTTGCATCTTTTCTTTACCCTTCATATGCTTCTTGCCTTTTCTTCGGTCTCCTGAAGGTGATGGTGCCAATGATGTTAGCATGATTCAAGTGGCAGACATTGGGATTGGGATCTCAGGTCAAGAAGGCATGCAGGTGAGTGGATTTCGTGCGCCCAAGTACCGTGAACTTCACCTGCCCATCCAAGGGCAACATTCCCACGGTGAAATCTCTGTGTAAAGTGAGGCCGGCCGTGGCTAGATCAGGAGTGGGAGACAGGAATTGTGTCTATTGATTATTTACTGCGTGAGTACTGGGGTGTTTTCCTGGGTAATTCTAACTGCGTGCTCGTTCAGTTTAAAATCTATAGCTCCTCTAGATCCTAATAATATATATATTTAGCCCTGCCGTAACTGTGTAACTTTGGACACCGATGAAAGCTACTAAAGTAGGATTTGAATAAAAGACCTACAGACCTCAAGAGGGAGGGAGGAAGATGGTACTTGAGAATGAGGGAGAGGGGAGGGTCCTATCTGTACGTGTGTGTGTGCACATGTGTGCATATCGGATAGTGTGTTTGGGCACAAAAGTCCGATAAAAGCTTGTCCAAAGACTGCTTTTCATGTATGGAGCAAACGCCGTCAGAGGAAGATCGGACGTGAGGCTTGGGGTTTTCAGAGAATTGTAAATTATGACATTCTCTGCAAACCCTGAGAAATTCATGAAGTCATGACTACGGTCCTTTCAGTATTCTTCTCATTGAGGGGAAGCGGATGCCAATGGCAGTGTGTGGCGTTCTTGCTAAGGGAGCTGCTTTCCAGGAAAGTACATTTGCCAAAATTCCATCCCGAGTGGGATCCAAAGAGAAGTCTTGTTTCGTGGGACCCTATTGGAAAGCTGACTGTGGCTCTGTGTTCATGAGTTTCTCTTTGTTTGGGTTTGCTTTATTTTGCGTGGGTCTGCACGGACGGTTTAAACAACAGATTGGACCGGTCGCAGCCTGCCGATGGTCAGGCTGCCCGGCTGCGTCTGCGTTGACATGTCCCATGGCTCACGGTGGCGTCCTGTCCCCGTTACCTCTGCAGGCGGTGATGGCCAGCGACTTTGCCATTGCTCAGTTTAAGCATCTCGGCAGGCTCCTGCTTGTCCACGGGCACTGGTGTTACGCACGACTCTCCAACATGATTCTCTATTTTTTCTACAAGAACGTGGTACGTAGCTCTGGAGAATTTGTCCCTTCCCCCCCTCCTCCCTTTCTTCTCCTGCTTGCAGAAGGGATGGCGAGGAAGTGCCCTGAGTGAGGCTGCTTGGCTTACTGATGTTTGGGAAGCTGCCAGGAGCACTCCTGCCACCGTCCTGGAAATAATCTGGGGACGCGCTTCGGTTCAGCCACCAACAGCAAATCGCTGGGCTTGTCCCTCTGCCGGCATTTCCTATTCCCTATGCTTTTCCATTCAATTAAGTCCTGTCTGGTTCATTTAAGACCCAGTTTTTGACCTTCCGTGGAAAGGTGGTGGCAAGCAGAATTAGGAAATGTTTAATGCTGTCAGTAGAGAATGAGAAGGTTTGCTTCCATTTTCCAGGAGATAGCAAAAACTATCTGCTGTCCTCAGACTGATGTTCCATGTTGTATATTGAAGACACAGATGCCGCTGAAAACCCAGGATCACGCCTTGGCCTGTAGCTGGCTAACACAAGTGAAGAATTTTCTAGCAAGCCTGTAAAATGGATTTGCGCTTGGTGGCCAGGGAACTTAATTTTGACTGTGTCATTCCTAAAGGGGCAGAATTTGGTGAGAAGCCCTAGCTTCTAATCTTTGGCATGCCGTTTAAATTTCAGTCTCCTCTTTTATAAGATCATGTGGACCTTAGATTGCTTCACTTAAGTTCCTTCTACCTGGAGTGATTATGTAAAAATGTCATGATTTTTTAGACCAAATTTATTTTTAGCCTTCAAAGTCCATAGGTAGCGTGCTAATAGTAAACATCAATTTATATCACTCTCTTGAAATACCACCTTTGGGGAAAAAAAATAACTTCAATAGGTCATTTTACATATATTCCAGATGTGTAATTTAGATGTGTGTGTGTGTGTGTGTGTGTGTGTCAGCAGAACCTTTTTTTTTTGTCCTATCACACAATGAACTTTTTTAAAATTCCAGGACTTAGTAGTGGTCACTGACTTTTAGGGAGGAGCCTCTTTCCCAAGTGATTTTTTTTTTTTAATACTTTTGCATTTTTCTTTTAAGATTTTTATTTATTTATTTATTTATTTGAGAGAGAGGCAGCAAGAGAGGGAACACAAGCAGAGGGAGTGGGAGAGGGAGAAGCAGGCTTCCCGCTGAGTAGAGAGCCTGATGTGGGGCTTAATCCCAGGACCCTGGGATCATGACCTGAGCCGAAGGCAGTCGCTTAACCAACTGAGCCACCCAGGCGCCCCTGTACTTTTGTATTTTTCTACCTGCCCCTCTTGTGGTGCAGCCCACCCCCTCCCCTTTCCTTTTAAGCCCAGATTAAACCCAGAGGGTAAGCAACATTAATATTAGGAAGAGAGGTGTCATATGCTCTTGGAGAGTGGGGCAGTGTGTATGAGTAGGCACTCCATCACCAGGGAACAAGGACCCTGAGGTCTTCTGCTGTGTAACCCTCAGTGGCCATTCACACTGATACTCTCCTGACTTACTTCTGCCTCTTACTAACCTAGCAAGACAGTGAATGTTTTGTAAACTATGGAGAAGAACGCCAGTATCAGAAGCCATCAGGTAACTTACCTTTCTGAGACTGTGGTTCTTAGATCTTAGAAAACTTTTGAGATACTGATGAAGACTATGAATTCATTCCCCAAAACACATGTACCCCAAATTGATACATTTCCAGGGGCAGGGCACAGTGTGTGTCCATCGACCCTAGATTTAAGAAACTCTGTCCTAAGGATTGTGGCTCCTATCCTAAAGTATTCTAGTGCATCTAGAATGCCAACAATAACATCTTCATACTTGTAAGGCACTTTACAGGTCATGAGCACCTTCTAAGTGGATCCTGATACTAAGTTCTGGGGTGGTATAATTCTCATTTTCCAGATGAGGAAATCAAAATTCAGAAAGGTTAGGAAAATGGCCTAAAGTGGAAAAAAGTAGCAGGAAGTGTCTTCAGGCCCTGAGTATGACTGCTAAATTCAAGGGCGGTGCAGGTGAACTCTGGATCTCTAATCTCACAAATCTAAGGCCAGGATCCTTTCCTGGGGCCTGCCTTGCTTGAGGGCACAGAGCTTTAGCTCTCATGGGCCTAGTTCATCTGTGACTAAATACTGGAGGAAACACTGTGGGATGCATATTTCCAGCCTCCAGGGCGACCACCTGTGCGGGTTTGCCTGGGACTGTCCCGGTGTTAGCAGGGAGAGTCCTTGTCCTGGGAATCTCCTCCGTCCCGGACTCACTGGGATGGTTGGCTACCCAGCTGGCACCACTAAAAAGTAATTTTGAACCTAGAAAGCAGGAAGATGAATATCTGTTGTGTGCCTGCTACATACCAGGCCCGGGGCTAGGATCTCTCCATGTAGAAGCGGTGTCTCAGTCTGAATACTGGCTCTGTTACTTACTAGCCAGATGACTTTGGGCAAGTTCCTTAGCCTCTCTGTGCCTCAGCTTCCTCATCTGTAAAATGGGGCCACAGTAACTCCCAAGTTGTTAGGAGGGTTGAACAAATTATTTGTAAAGCTCTTAGAACAGGGCCAGAGCTACACAGTGAGGGGCATGCGTGTGTGTGTGCACGTGTGTGTGTCTACGTATGTAGGGTTTTCCTTTAATAAAACACGAATCCCAAAAAGACGGCAAGGCAAGTTGTGGTCTTCCATTTGGTGAGGGGGAGAGAGGCTGGGATCACGCAGCTGACGGTGGCAGCGTGTGGCTTGTGCGCTCATGCACACGTGGCTGTTTGTTTCTAAGATGCAAATGTTCCCTCTTGTGTCCCTAGGCCTATGTGAACCTCCTTTTCTGGTACCAGTTCTTTTGTGGATTTTCAGGAACCTCCATGACTGACTACTGGGTGTTGATCTTGTTCAACCTCCTTTTCACTTCCGCTCCTCCTGTCATTTATGGTGTCTTGGAGAAAGATGTGTCTGCAGAGACCCTCATGCAGCTGCCGGAACTTTACAAGGGTGGTCAGAAATCAGAGGTAGGTGCCGAGGCAGAAATGCTTGGACCGAGACGCATCTGCCGTGCAAGCCAGGGCACGTTCCAGTGAGCCCAGCTCCAATAGTGTGCTCCGTTCAGGACTGCTTCAAACTCTTGGCATTGTGCGGCTGTTTCAGAACATCTCTGCTAACACGGCAGATACGAAGTTACTTGCTTCTGAGGTGAACAGAGGTACAACTGCGGAAGGTCTTAGGTACTTATCTGAAGAAATCTGGCATTTCCACAGCTCATGATGTCTAGGATTTGCTAGACCTCACTGTGCCATCTCTTGTGTGAACTACTAAACCTCCCCTGTCTCATTTATCTCCACAGAACTTTTTGAGGGAGAACCTGGTATTGTACCCATTCTAAGATGAAGAATCTGAATTTCAAAGGGGCTCAGTAATTTTTCCAAAAATCTCACAAAATTTTCCAAAAATCTCAAAAATGGGTTATGTTTAGCAGAGGCAGGATATGAATCCTTCTTAGTCTGGTTCTAAAGCCAAAATAAATTTTTCAGGCTCTATTCTGCAGCCTAGTGGCGTGATCTGAATGGCTTCCTGTCCCTAAAGCCAAGCCCTGGCCTCTACTTAATTGATCTTCATGCTACCTGTCTCCCTCTGATGGATCACTGATACCTGTCCCCCCTTCCTAATGTTCTCTCACTGTCCTCATTTTCTCCTACCTAGAGGATTGTGGTTGCTAATTACTTGGGCTAGCTGTCTCACAACTCTTTTCTTTCTTATTTATCTTCTACAAAATTAATAATAATAAACACTTATGAACGTTTATGTAACGCCTCCAAACGCCAGGCACTATTCGAAGTGCTTGATATACATAAATCTAATCCTCAAAATGACCCTGCACGTCAGTGCTCTCGTTACCCACTGTGTAGACGAGGACAGTCAGTCACAGGAAGGTACTTTCAGTAACGAGCCCATGTCACAGAATTCAAGGGCGGTGCAGGTGAACTCTGGATCTCTAGCCCATGCTGTCCACCGTTACGTGGGGCTGCAGAAAGAACACTGGTGCTGTCTTCAGTCCCTGGGTCTCCTCCCGCCTCCGCTGTGCTGTTCCATGGCCAGAAATCCAAAGTGCGCTCACAAGTGCATGGTCAGGATCACAGGGACTGAGGAAGGCCAGGAACCTATAGATGCCTGTAAGTGGGCAAAGCTGAGGTATCCCCAAATTGTAGTCAGATATTCTAGTCTTGAGAGGAAGACTCTGTTAGTCAGGACCCTTTCAGCTGCAAGTGACAGAAACCAGCTCCAACTGGCTTAGTAAAAAAGATCATGTTCTCGTTGACCAGGCCTGGGACATCTATTGTTCCTGAGGACAGAGCTGAATCACATGGACAGGATTGGGAAGAAGGGTTTCCTAGAGAAGTACTGGGCAGGCAAAAATCAGACCTACCATGAGAAATCTGTGTTGTGCTTCACTCATAGTTCTAAAGACGCTGACCCAGATCAGTTAGAAATAATGGGTTATGTTTAGCCTGAGTTTAAATTCTGGTTCTGTGGTGTGTGACCTTGGTAAATGATTTAACTTGCCTGTTCTTCTGTTTCTTTATGGAGATGATGTGAGGATCAAGTAAGATAAAAGTTCCAGCTATATTAAGCTCTCAGTATTATTATTTTTACCCCCTCCCCAGAATTAACCAGAAATTTGAGGAAATCCCAAATTTAAAGTGTATTTATTTTCATCAGTCTAACTTTATTCTGACTTGAACTTCCTTTCCAGGCTGGGGAGTAACTTAATGTCTGCAGGCTACCTGCTGCAGCCAACACAGGGAAGTCATACGTTCAACTTTCAGGGAAGAAGAAATTCTCGTAATCCTTTAATATCATCTAGTCCATTTAGATCAAGGAACTAAATGGGGTTTTCCTAGAGGAATCCAGTCTGACTTAAAGTTCAAGGCCAGGTTGCAGGGATGGGTGATTGATATTAATGAAGGTTGTCTTATAACCCCTGGCCTAAATTCAATTCCAAGTCCACTGGAGAAAGAGAAGTGAGGGGGCTCTTCAGAGTTTTTAGAGTTGGGGTTTTAAAAACCCATTTGTGCAGACTGATTGGTTCTTACCCTTGGAAGAGTTGAGGTCACTGTTTCCTGTTGTTGAACCCTGTTATCCATCCTTTGCACATGTTATTCTGTTGAGCCGGCCAATTTCATAATACATGGTAATAGCAGGCGGATTCCCAGCATGTGGCTATTGGGAGAAGGTCATGGATTTCATTGAGTTTACCTTCCAGAAGAGTTGTCCTTTCTTTGACCTTGGCCTTCAAACGAATTCTGTTTTATGCTTGGGCCATTTCCTGTCTTCGGCGTCATGAAATATACTCTCTAGGGTTACGGAATGTCTCCCCAGAGGAGATGATCTGAAAGGCTGCAACAGAGGCCTCCCTCCCGAGAAGCAATCATCTGTTACCCGTCTCTCCTCACCCACACAGCCACCTTTCCTGGCTTTGACGTCGTGTCCACATTTTCCCTTTCAGATTCCAGGAGATCCCGTGAGTTCATCTCGCCAGCCTCTCATTTATCTTTTCCTGTCCTTTGCTTCCAGAGTCCCCCGACTCACAGGACTGTGGAGTAATTATGCTTTTACCTTTTTTGCTCTAGGGTTTTTTGAGCAGCTTCCATTCTTCCAGTAGCTTGAAGTTACATTTTAGCTTATCCCCAAATTGTTCGCTCTTGTCTAGTAGCATTTTGGTTGCCCCTTTGATTCTACCACATTCTCTTCTGTCATTTGTGCTTCTGCTTAGATTTTTATGAACCTTTGGATGAAGAAAGATAGGTAGAACATCCCATCATTTTTAAGGAGGAAACAGTAAAAAAAGATACAGGGAAAAGGAACAGTAACAGTAACAATATTAGAAACAACAAATCCTCATTGCTTTGATTTTCCAGAGGATGAAGAGGTTTTTTTTTTTTTAAAGAATAGATTTTAAAATTCTAAGTACAGTGTACTGAAGAATAGAAGAACGGATGTGGAGAATTTGTGTATTTACAAAACTTTGTTATTTAGAAGACAATTGCTTATTTCCAAAGAAATGCCATCCTTTTCACATTTGGAAGGAAATAAGACTGAGAACATGTTAAGAAAAGAGAAGACTAGCTCAAGGATATAATATATGTGTTGCCATTTTTGTCCATGGCATACATCACTAATAAACCAAAACACTCGGTTGTTCCTCCGGGGTCTGGACGCAGCCTCAGAATCCTTCTGCACACACATCAACATTCAACCAGAGATGGCTCTTGTTTGAAAACCTGTTTTCCATCACTTGATTAGTGTCTCTACTTGAACTTTCTCTTTTTTTCTGTACGCTTTTGGTTAGAAGCAGTTCAGCATGTGAAAAGTTATGTAGGAATAGTTTATTAATCCAACAAATACTTACTGAGTACTTGTTATGTACCAGGTACTGTTTTAATCACTTGCATAAAAAAATCAGAGCCCCACTGTATGAAGTTTGCATTCTGTTGAGAGAACCAGAAAATCATTAGGTAAACAAATTAAACTATTTCCGATGGTGATGAGAGATTTCTAAGGATGCCATGGTAGTAAGTGATGGGGTGGGCATAACTTTTAGACTGGTCTGGGAGTGCCTCAGTGAGGAGATGATATTGAGCTAGGATGTGAATAATGAAGAGCGGGTCATGTGGGAGGTTACGTGGGAGGTCCAGAGAATCCTGGCAGAGAGAAGAGCACAGGAGAAGCCCCAGGGAAAGAATGGGTCTGGCAAGTTTGAAGAATAGAAGGTGCCTGTGGTAGGATCATAGTCGATGAGGATAAGAATGGGAGGGTGGGACCCTGGAGAGCAGGGTCTCCAGTGGGCAGACCCTCCAGGACATTACAGGCCGTGGGAAGGAACTTAAGTTGTATTGGAAATGCAGCGGAGCGGCATTGGAGGGGGTCAGTTTGATTAATTAGGGAGGTGGCATGACCTGATTTATAGCTTTTAAGAACCTTCTGACCGCTGTGGAAGATTGGATTAGGGATAGGAGAAGAAGCAAAGAAGCCAGTTAGGTGGTTATTCAGTCATTCATAAAGAGAGTTGATGGTGAAGGAGAATGGAAACAGAAGTAGATGGATTTGGAGAAGTTTTTGAAATGGCACTTTCTGATCAATAGGAAATGGAAAATCAGTACTACTATCCCTATTTCAAGTAGATTCCAGGTTGATCCAATGATAGAAGCGACATGAGTTGAAGAGAGTTCCTCCATGGACTTTTTCACCTATTATTCAACTTCACACCATATTCTTCTACCACTATTTACAAATCCCACCTATTTTGTGAGAGAATAAAGGAATATAATCTTCTCGGAGAAGCAAAAACAATTATTGGCTTGTGTTGTTCCTTGACATTGCTTTGACTCTTATTAATCCCTCCACAATATCTATTTCATTTTCAGGCATACCTACCCCTTACCTTCTGGATCACCTTGTTGGATGCCTTTTATCAAAGCCTGGTCTGCTTCTTTGTGCCTTACTATGTGAGTCCTTATTCACTCAAAGTGTGTGTTATTAATGAATCAGTGATGCTTCTTTGTTGCTCTTTTCAGCATATGGAATGGATATATTAGGGTATCTTGCTCATATAATCAAGTTGATCATTAGCTGACTAAATTATAAAGTCCTACCCCAAATATGTTAGACAATGGATTAAATTTGGAGAGAAGTACATAGCTGACTCCTCATGAATCTCCTTTTTAGCCCTATGCTGCTTGATAGATTTTGTAAATGACCTGGATAAAATTGAGAGTCCAGGCATATAATGAGATGAGTCAAAATCAGAGAGGCAAAGTCAGAATATGGAATCAATTATTAGTGAGTGCTGGGCTAAATCTACTAGGATGATATTCATAGTATTAAATTTAAGTTCTTATAAATAGTCTCTCCAAAATAAAAAACCTGTTTTATAGGTGAAGAATAGAAGAAATGTGACTAAACAAAACATGTATAAAAATGAATTTTAAAATTCAGGCCAATCCCAAGCACAAAGCAGCATGATATAACTGCCCACCCATATATACCCCTACCCAGAAGAAAACACTGGTTTGATCATGGATTGGTGTTAACAAAAGCACAGTATTAAGAATGAAAAAAAAATTGATAAACTCTAAGTTAACAACCTCAGTTCTTTAGTTCTTTATTTAAACAAAATGACTTGAATTTGCCAGCTAGAGTATTCTGGGTATACTGCATTTCAAGAGGGATACAGATAAGGCAATCTGAAGGTAAGCAGAAGAGAGCAAGTAGAATTGTGAAAGGTCAGAAAATTGTGTCCTTGGAAGAAAACTTTAAGGGTTTGAGGACGTATACATAGGAGAGGAGGGGATATTTACTTAGCAGAGATCATACACTCAGGATAGCCTTTTTTTTTTGAGAGAGAGAATGAGCACATGCACAAGCACAGGGAGAGGGAGAGAGAATCCCAAGCAGACTGCGCTGAGTGCAGAGCCCAGTGCAGGACTCGATCCTAGGACCCCGAGATCACGACTTGAGCCAAAAGAAGTGAGTCAGATGCTCAACCAACTGAGCATCCCGGCGCTGCTCGGGTAGCCTGAATAGCTACCTCAAAGTTTTGCAGCTCTATTAAATGGGACATATTTGATATTTTTCTATACCTCAAAGAGCCAGAAGTGTAAGTAAAAGGTTCCAGGAAGGGGCTCCTGGGTGGCTCAGTTAAGCGACTGCCTTTGGCTCAGGTCATGATCCCAGGGTCGTGGGATTGAGCCCTGCATCGGGCTCCCTGCTCAGCGGGAAGACTGCTTCTCCCTCTCCCACTCCCCCTGCTTGTGTTCCCTCTCTCACTGTCTCTCTGTGTTAAATAAATAAGTAAGTAAGTAAGTAAAGTAAGTACGTACGTAAGTAAGGTTCCAGGAAGATGAATTATGGCTCAGGATAAAGAGGCATTCCAACTGAAAAGTTCAAAGATTAGATGGCCCAAGAGTCAGTCTCTCTTTCGGAAATGTTCAAGTTTATCCTAATGACCCTTTGTGAGCAACACTGAAGAAGGGACTCCATCCTCAGTTGAGCTATAAAATAAAGGGATGGTACTCAAACCACCAAGTGTGACAACTCTCCAAGATCACCACCTGTTGTCCTCTCTTTGTAGACCTACCAGGACTCAGACATTGACATCTTTGCATTTGGAAACCCCCTGAACACAGCTGCTCTGTTCATCATTATCCTCCACCTGGTGATTGAAAGCAAGAGTTTGGTGAGTGGTTTTCCTGCCTTGGAAGTAGCCTGAAACTGCTTGGGGTAAATGTCTTCTATTAGCAGTGATTGTGCTAAAACTTTAATGCCTAGAAAACACATGGTAACGAGAAGAGTAATGATGCCAAATAAGAAGGGTGATTTCATGGATCCTCTTGTTGATTGTTGAGTGCCATTGTGTTGAGGTTGATGTATAGCCAGGGAAAGTGGAAAATACCTACCTGGTCCCCTTGGTGGTATCCATGGCGAGTCAAGCTGAAGAAACAATTACATTTCAATGACCAACATTCTTCAAGATCATGCTCATGCCTTTCAGCTCAACTAAAGAGAGGTGTCGTGCCATGATCCTGGTATACTGACTTTAGTAAGTGATGATTTTATCACAGTAAAATGTCTCATGTTACAAAAATTATATTTTCTTCCCTCCAGAATTTTTACCATTCATTTAAATCTAGGTTTTTTTTTAATCTTAGTTGCTGACTTAATGATAGTTAATTCTCGTCATCAAAATGATTGTACGGTAGCTCTCTGCCGCAAAGCTAATGTGTAGGATTCAGATAGTGAGAGCTTTGTTGTAAACCTTCCTTTGTCGATGAAGAACATTCCACCCATCTCTGGAGAATAAACCACTTCCGTGATTATTTATGCCCGTCACTCGTTTCCGATGGCATTGTCTTTGCTATAGCCTAAGCCACTTCCAGGACTAATGCTACGTCTCCTTAGACCTCCCACCCGCCTCTCCTCTTGACTCCTCCAGCCATCCTCTACAAAACAATCAGAATCATCCTTTTGAAACACAAATCATGTCTTGTTGCTGTCCTTTGGGTAAAACACTTCAGTCATTTCCCGCTGCACTTGGAGTAAAATTGAAAAGCCCTGAGATGGCCTAAAGGACGTCATGCAGTGATTCCTCTACTTTTCTCTCTGATCACATTTCCACTTACTCAGGGGCTGGAGCCACATTGTCCTTCCTTTAGCATTTCAGATACTGTGAGCTCATTACCACATCAGGTCCTTAGCATTTGCCATCTCTTCTGAGGGGAGTATTCTTACTCTTCCCTTGGTTCCTTGCACTTTACCTAGCTTGCATATTATTTTCAGTCTCAGCAAAAATGCTGCTTCCTCCAAGAGCCCTTCCCTAATCATCCGTTTTTTCATACCATCTTCTTGTTTTTCCTCATTGCTCCAATAATAATTTCTTATTATTCATCGTTATGTGACTATGTGATTCATGTTTATCTTCTGCATTAGACTATAATCTCTGTGACGGGCAGGGTTCGTGTTTATTTTCTTGACTACCATATACCAGAATCTAGGACCGGACTGACACACAGTAGGTACTCAAAAATGTTTGGCTGGATAAACAAATGATTAAATGGGGCGCCTAGGTGGCTCAGTTGGTTAAGCGACTGCCTTCGGCTCAGGTCATGATCCTGGAGTCCCTGGATCGAGTCCCGCATCGGGCTCCCTGCTCAGCGGGGAGT